ACCGGGGTCATATTATATCTTTTTAAGAAAATAAATATAATAATTAAACAAATACAGAAATTATTTTGTAGAATCTTTGAACAAAATTAAGGGGGAATTCTAAAGGAAAAAAGATACGTAGCTACATGAAGTATGCTACAATACATGGCCACACATCTGAAATTTAAAAATGTATCTCTAACTACACAAACTATATGTATTGCATGCCCACATATACGAACTATATGTAGTCATGTCGCCAACATCACGAACATTTTTTCTGGTACACTTTTCGCCGGAATCCGGCGTTGACCAGTTTTACTGGCGTTGACCAACACAAATATTAAAAAAGAAAATTTAGTTTTTTAATATTTAGAAATTATGTTATTGAATCATTTATAATATTTTAAATTAAAAAAAAATATATACAATATTCAATATAAAAATATTTTGTATATATATTCAATGCTTTGATTTTTATAATTAGTTAGTTTCGATAATTTCAAAACTAAACTAAAATAAAAAACCAATTAGGTAAAATAATAATAAAAAATAACATTTAAAAATGAATAAAAAATCACAATGTTTCTTTTTAATATTTTCTTAATTATACAATATTATAATGATTCAAAACATATTTTTTAAATAATAAAAACTTAAAAAAATCTTTTTTCTTGAATATTTATATTGGTCAATGCCGGATTCTGGCCAAAAGTGTACCGGAGAAAATGTTCGTAATGTTGGCGACATGACTACATATAGTTCATATATGTGGGCATGCAATACATATAATTTGTGTAGTTAGATATACATTTTTAATCTTCGGATGTGTGACCATATATTGTAGCATACTTCATGTAGGTAGGTATCTTTTTTCCAATTTTAAAAGACAATGGATACGTTTGTGCTTTTAAGAAGAAGAATTGGCGTTGGTCACGTTTGTTCATATCAACTTGACAAAACTCACAAAGTTGATATGTAGAGAAAAAGTGGTTTCGAAGTTTGTCGGATCTTCCTTGCATGGTTTAGATATTTGTAATTCTGCATTCTCACGTCGTGTAACGTCAGGAAGGGAGAGAGATTGAGAGCATGAGATTGTTCTTTAGCTTATGTGGGCTGATTAGTATTAGCTTAATACACAAAATGAAAATATTATTTTGTTTTTTTTAAAGAGTCGAACATATTGGCTTTGATTGGTAGCATAGTTAATGGCGGTTAAAAATTCAACCGCTCATTTGGTTACCAGTCTGGTCTAATCATATGAGCGGTTAAAATAGGTGAAAGAAACGAGTTGTTAGAATAGGTGGTTAAAATCTTAAAAGAGGTGGTAGCATTTGTGAGTAACTGTCTTATTTATAATAAGGGCGGTTGAAATTTTTAAATTATATAATTTTTTTTTCTTTTCTAAAAAGTATTGTGCATTTATATTATTATCTTATAGAGTTTTAAAAATGAAACTGAATTTTCTAATGTCTAATTTGAACTGAAATCACATCAGTTTGAAATCAGTGGCGAAACGTTTTTCACCGGGGTCATATTATATCTTTTTAAGAAAATATATATAATAATTAAACAAATACAGAAATACAAGTTAAACGTCATTATGTAAATAAGTGAGTATATGGATGTTTATTTGCATAATAGAATTTAGAGAATTTTTGAGAAATACCCCTTTTGGTGTACCACTTTTTAAAAATACCCCCTTTATCTATCCATTTTCAAAAATACCCCTTTTAAATATAAAAAATTATAAAGTTTTATATAGTTTATAAGGTATTTCTATATAATAACTACTACTGGGAGATTCGATACAAATATTTTAAAATGTTTTAAATAGTTTTAAATCGTTTTTATAAGTTTTATAAGGTTTTTATAAGGTTTTTAAAAGGGTTTATATGGTTTTTATAAGGTTTTTATAAAGTTTTTATAATTTATTTTTACGCTATTTATGAAAGGTATATAAAGTTTTATACACATATAAAGGTAATTTGTGTATATATTTATAAGCTTACACACATATTTGGATAAATTTCAACGTTTTTAGTGGGGTTTTTGATAAAGTCTGAAAATGGGGTATTTTTAAAAAGAGGTATATGAAAAGGGGTATTTTTGAAATTCCCCCTAGAATTTATTCTCCTATACATACAAGTAATAACCATTGTAAAAAAAAAAATTGTTTATAAAGAAAATTATAATATATAAACTTTCACAACTATATACCTTTTATTTTCATATTTAATTTTTATTATTTTATAAATACAATATATTAGCAATTTTAAATTTATGAAGATAACTGTTTATAGTCAAAATTATAATGTTTGAAACATTCACAATTACATATCCACTTATTATTTCTTTTCTTATCAACCACACATTTATTAAAATTGTACTCCATGGTTGGTAGCCACTTATTTGCATAATGAAACTTTATTGATTACACATACAAAATATTACCAGTTGCAAAACTAGAAAATCATTGTTTATAATAAAGTTTATAATATTTAAAATTTTACAAGTACACCTATTTATCTGTTTTATATAAATAATTACAATTAGTATGAAATTATTTTGTTCACTATGTAAAATGTATCCAATCAACATACTTTAAGTGATTTTATTCTGCAGGTTATGCTATTATGCAATTATGCATTGTTACCAATCAAAGCCAAAATAAATAATAGAAAAAGTTAATCTATACTATTAAAGCTGAAGTACAAATTAGATTTACACTAAAGTTTTCAAATGAAATAAAATACATTCCTAAATGGATACTTCATTTTCAAAAATTTGGGTATGGATAATAAAACGGATATTTCTCCAGCAGATTATATCATTTCCATATTTAGTTTTGATTTTCCTAAAATATATCTACCTCATTAAAAAAGTCAATAATAAAAATATAATTTTTTTTCCGCATATGTTGTAGTTTGAATTTTTCTTAAAGGGCATATATTACTCAATTGATAAAACAAAAAGGTGTATATAAAACATACCACATAGGTTAGAAAATTTTAGAAAATTGTTCATAATCATTATAAATATGATTGATATACTTTAATCTACGAATAAACAGGAAGCTTGATTTCTCAAACGTCCAAAATTTAAAAAAAATATCCGGTTTAATCCGGTTCTTTATATGAAAAAAATTCAAAATATTATAATATTGAAAATTTTTAAATTTGAAAGCATTAGATATATTGAAAAATTTAGAACTTTAAATATTTTAGGTGAAACATCAAATATTAGTCGACTAAATTTTCCAAAGATATTTTTTTAAAAAAAATACAAAATAACATACAAAGAAATTATACATGTAAAATTCAAAAACATGTATGTAATATTTTTGAACTCAAATCTGATTTTGAACCGGATTACCCACCGGATCATCGGATCACTAGGTTAACCGGGTTCGACCACAATCAATTGATTATTTTATATAAATTATGCAGTTTCATAAATAGATTTTTTTAAACATATTATGTCAAACAAAATATGTAGTCTAACAATGATAATAATTTTATAAAACAAATTAAGTTCAAATAAAACAATAAGAACACTTATAATACATCAATATTTTACGGTAACCAATTTTAATTGTATCTATTATTGTTTGAGAAATAATAAAAATGCTATGACTTCTAAAATCAGGTAGGTTCAATTGGTTCATATGGTCGCGGGTTAACAAAAAATTTGATGGTTATTTTTAGTCATAAGATTACCAGTTATTTACACTAAACCTAAACTGGAAAAGTATCCAGTTTTATGGTCGCAAATTATCCTGTTAAACTGGCGAGTCTAATTCGCAAGTAAAAACATCTGATTAATCAAACACTTACAACATGAAAAATAAACACAATCTCAAATCACATATATATATATATATATATATATTAACTTTTCGAAAAATGTCATCCGTGCAGTAGCACGGGTTATCCTTTAGTTTCTCTAATAAAGTTTAGAATGAATCAAATGTTTGTTTCTCTCTCACAAGCTTTAATTGAGTGTTGTTGTTAAAATTTTGATATATTTTGTCTAAATCTTTGTGGTAACTCTTAGGACATCTTGAAATCCATCGAGTATTAGATTAAATCAACACCTACAGATAATCATACATGGAATTTTTTATTCATAACCAGTTCAATTTTGGTCTAACTTAGACACCGTTGAGATCAATATCACGAAATAAGTTGCTCACTAGAGTCTTGTCATCCAACTTAGTGTCCACATGCATTGCATTGGGTCGTTTTTTTGTGTTAAACTAGGGTTTGTTATGGGCTTTCAACTCAAAACCAATTGGCAATGAGTGGATTGGCCCTAACCCTTTATATATTACTTAAGTCCCATCACATCTTCCAATGTGGGATCTTTTCTCCACAGCTTCAAAAGTTAATGATTCTTGTTCCATATGACTATTCGGCTCAAACTAAAGCACATATTTTTCAATATTATGCATATGTAAGAAGGATAAGTTATCCAATTACAACTCGAGATCAACATTATATTCTCGAGAAATATTAACCGTTAGAGAATTTTGGAAACAAATGAGTTGATTGAGATGTTATAATAACTGTAGCCACCTCTTGAACTAGGCTAACCAGCGATAATGAAGTATAAATGTCTTTACGACCTCATTTTGGCAAAAAGGCCTCCTGATACCCTTTTTCAAAAGAAATTGCCTTAGCATCCTTTACGACGATAGTTTCTTTCTTGTGTAACAAGTTCTTTACAAAGTTTAAATTTTAAGATAATCCTTCACAAACCACAGTAACTGAAGTTACTCTTCACAAACAATGCACATTCCTAATCAAAGTAGTAGAATGAGAAGCACTGCACCCAAAACGTTAATAACCACAGGACCTCTAGGGTTTGAGAAGAGTGAAAAAGAAAAAGATTTCTTACTTTATAGAAAGAAAAATAGAACAAAAACATTAAGATAAAACATAGCAAAACATAAGGAAACGCTTCATGACAATACCAACAACAACGTGACAAACATCAAAACTCATAACCAAAAGAAAATCTTAACGATGTCCACACTTCATCAAACAAATTAGCCATTCTGGTTTGTACAAAGCAATGATTTGTTCTATAGCAAGTCCAAGTAACATTCCAATCCCATACCCTATTGCCACACCTTTCCAGTTCCACACTTGTTCCTCTTCGTCATCTTCCTCTTCTGTAGGTTGTTGTGTTGGTGGCGCATTAGTCCCAAAGCAACTTTCTTCCAGAGGGAAACCACAAAGCCCTGCATTTCTTTCAAATGATGATTTAGGTTGCCCAGTTATTTGTGTTCCTTGTGGTATTTCACCATTGAGTTGGTTGTGAGACACGTTCATGTCCGCCAAAAACGAAAGATTCCCTAATCCATTAGGAATAGTCCCTGAGAGTTGGTTACTGGATAGGTCTAGTGACTCGAGCTTCCTAAGATTTGCCAAAGACAGAGGAATATGGCCTGTGAAGGCGTTGTTCGACAAGTTGAGTGCGATTAGTGCCTTTAAGAGACCGATAGATTCAGGAATTTCTCCTTCAAGTCTATTTCCAGAAAAATCAATTGTGGCGTAAGAAGCAAAGACCCTCTCATCCTCCATAGATAGACCTTTATAATGTAGATCCATAGGTTGCTGATAGGAGAATCTATAGGTCATGTAAACTAACGTTGCATATGACATATATGGACCCAAATCTTCATTCATTGTAAGTGATGATGCTTTCCAATTCACAAAAAAATCTGGGGACAAGCTTCCGGTAAAATTATTATCAGCTATCTCAAGTATCCGTAGCTCAGGAAACCCTAGAGGACCATTATTAGGAGGAGATATAGAACCGTAGAATTTGTTTGAACGGAGAATAAGGATTTGCAATTTCGGTAAAGCCTTAAGAGAGAAAGGAAATGTATCTTCGATTTTGTTGTGGTCCACACTTAGAAACTGTAGAGCAGAGCAATTTAGAAGGGACCTTGGAAGCTTTCCAGTTAATCGATTGTATCCGACGTCGAGTGACTGTAGAGGTGCGTTGGCGTCACACTTGTCTGGAATACTTCCTTCTAAGTTGTTCTTCCGGAGTCTCAAAATCAAGAAGTTACTCATACATGAGGAATTGGAGCTTAGATCAAGGACATTCAGCGAGCTTCTATTGCAGACTGAAAGAGGTATATTCAAAGATTTTTTACAGGATCTATGAAGTCTACTATCTGCAAATTATGGATCTACATTATAAAGGTCTATCTATGGAGCAAGAGACAGTCTTTGTTGAGCTTTCCAAACTCAGAAGGGATTGAAGACGGGGTAAACTTGTTGTCAGAGAGATCAAGGGCACGGAGCTGATGAAACTGGAAGAGGCTACTGTTGGATTTAAGAGTTCCACTGAGACATCCCCTGAGTCGTATCTTCGTGACTGCGCCGGTGGAGTTATCGCACCAAACTCCATTTAAGGAGTCACTATGGTTGCAAGCATGAGTATCAAACTCGTTCTTAAACTGTGTAAATGCTTGAATCTGTTGAGGCCCACAGGCAACAAGACCAACAACAGGCTTTTTAAAAGTGTAGAAGCTTGAAGGGGAGACACAAGAGAGCAAGAGCAGCAAGAGAAAATTCAAACGCATAAGCGATTGAGACATGATGAAAACTTTTTTAAGAAAGACAAGAGAAAATTGTTTTGATATAAGAAACTTGAGAGGGGAGATTGGTATAAATAAAGATATGATGTAGTTTTGCATAGTGGAGTACTGATTGACTCAGAAGAAGTTAAGAGTTCAGTGAAGTCGTCACGTAGCCATGCATGAGCCACGTTTGATGACTTTTCTAATGTATAATTTGAACTGAAATCACATCAGTTTGAAATCAGTGGCGAAACGTTTTTCACCGGGGTCATATTTATATCTTTTTTAAAAAAATATATAAATAAATATAATAATTAAACAAATACACAAATTATTTTGTAGTATCTTTGAACAAAATTAAGGGGGAATTGGCGTTGGTCACGTTTGTTCACGAGAAAAAGTGGTTTCGAAGTTTGTCGGATCTTCCTTGCATGGTTTAGATATTTGTAATTCTGCATTCTCACGTCGTGTAACGTCAGGAATGGAGAGAGATTGAGAGCATGAGATTGTTCTTTAGCTTATGTGGGCTGATTCGTATTAGCTTAATACACAAAAATGAAAATGTTATTTTGTTTTTTTTGTAAAGAGTCTAAGAGAACATATTGGCTTTGATTGGTAGCATAGTTAAGGGCGGTTAAAAATTCAACCGCTCATTTGGTTACCAGTTTGGTCTAATCATATGAGCGATTAAAATAGGTGAAAGAAACGAGTTGTTAGAATAGGTGGTTAAAAACTGTGGTTAAAGTCTTAAAAGAGGTCGTTCACAACCATTTCTAAAATAGGTGAGTAACCGTCTTGTTTATAAAATGGGCAGTTGAAATTTTTATAATCATATAATTGTATTATTTTGTATAAAAATATTGTCTATTTATATTATTATCTTAAAGAGTTTTAAAATGAAACTGGTTTTTCTGTAAATCTATTTAATTTTTAGATATTCTCAATTCTTTTTCTATAGTAATGTTTTTACTAACACTTGTTACTAAACATATTTAACCGCTCGTTTTACAACATTAATTATAGACATGAACTCTAGGGTAAAAAAAAAAATGAAACATTAATATATCAAATTATATATGTAAATTGTATATGATTATTAATTAATAATATTAAAGGGCCCGTATATATTTACATACGGATTTATAAAAAAATATAATCTTATAAGATTATCCGCACTTGGATTGTAATTGTATGTTCACGTTGGCATAACCCCATAAGAAATGACGTTCTTTAGATAAGTTTGCAATCAATAAATGTTTTTAAACCAGTAAATTACAAGTGAAGTTTAGGTATCAGTCATTATCTTGGTTTTCATTCCAAAGTTGTTCTCTAAATGGCTTGTCATATGTGTTATTATTCTAACTTAAATTAGTGAAATTCTCAAGTTCTGAGAAACAAAACTATATAGTCTTCCTTTATTTGCAACGTATTAGATGAAAGACATATTAAATAACTAATAGGAAAAAGTCAAAACTAGTTGCCAAAACCTTTCTTTTTTTGTTGACATCAATTGCCAAAACTTTATACATTAGGAAAGAATTTAAATATAAAGTTAGAAGGAAAACCAATAATGAAAAATGATTAACCAAATCATTAACCTTGCAAACGAACTTTTGTAAATGTTACGTGTGGCGTTGATGACGGCTGAATCTAACGAGTAAGTAAGTAAGCTCACAGTTCTCGCTTGTTGGTAAATGACAGAGCCACCTTAAACGATGTCAGGTAATCTAATGTTTAAACAATTTCACTTCCGTCACTGCACAATGCCATTTTCGTCACTTCCGTCACTGCATCAGATTAAGATACAACAAACGTACGAAAATACTTCAAGAAAATACATTGATACACACAACAACTTGACAGACATTTAAGGATCAAACTCATAACCATAACCAATAAAAGAAAATCTTAACGGTGTCCACATTTCATCAAACAAATTAGCCATTCTGGTTTGTACAGAGCAATGATTTGTGCTATTGCCAATCCAAGCAACACTCCAAACCCATACCCTATTGCCACGCCTTCCCAGTTCAACACTTGTTCCTCTTCTTCGTCGTCTTCTTCTTCTTCTTCTTTAGGCTGATATGTTGGTGGCGCATTAGTCCCAAAGCAACTTTCTTCAAGAGGGAAACCGCAAAGCCCTGCATTTCCTTCAAATGACGATCTCGGTTGCCCAGTTATTTGTGTTCCTTGTGGTATTTCACCATTAAGTTTGTTGTGAGACACATTCACGTACGTCAAAAATGAGATAGCCCCTAGTCCATTAGGAATAGTCCCCGAGAGCTGGTTATTTGATAGGTCTAGTGACTCGAGCTTCATAAGATTGGTCAAAGATTGAGGAATGTGGCCAGTGAAGGCGTTGTTCGACAAGTTGAGTGCGATTAGTGCCTTTAAGAGACCAATAGATTCCGGAATTTCTTCTTCAAGTCTATTTCCAGAAAAATCAATTGTGGCGTAGGAAGCAAAGACTATCTCATCCTCCATAGATAGACCTTTATACTGTAGATCTATATGTTGTGGATAAGAGATTGTATAAGTCCGATAGGAAACCTTTGAGTATTCTGTATATAGACCCAAATCTTCATTCATCGTGAGTGAAGATGCTTTCCAATTCACAAAAAAATCTGAGGGCAAGCTTCCAGTAAATTTATTATCAGCTATCTCAAGTATCCGTAGTTCAGGAAACCCCAAAGGACCATTATTAGGAGGAGATATAGAGCCGTAGAATTTGTTTGAACGGAGGATAAGGAGTTGCAATTTCGATAAAGCCTTAAGGGAGAAAGGAAATGTATCTTCGATTTTGTTGTGGTCCACACTTAGAAACTGTAGAGCAGAGCAATTAAGAAGGGACCTTGGAAGCTTTCCAGTTAATCGATTGTAGCCAACGTCGAGTGTCGTTAGTGGTGCGTCGGCATCACACTTGTCTGGAATACTTCCTTCCAAGTTGTTCTTCCGGAGTCTCAAAATCAAGAAGTTACTCAGACATGGAGGAATTGGACCGGTGAATTTGTTGGAGCTTAGATTAAGGACATCCAGGGAGCTTCTGTTGCAGAGTGAAAGAGGTATGTCGCCTCTGAAACTATTGTTAAATGCAGAGAAGAAGTTGATAGAGAGCGGTAGATGTGGGAATGCTCCTTCTAAACTGTTTGACTCCAAAACTAAGATTTGCACCGATGAATTTAATAAAACTTCTGATGAACCTTCAAAGCCAGTTAACAAATTATATGACATGAACACTGAGCTCAGACGAGGAAGGCTCCATAACCACTCTGGTATTTTCCCACTGATTTTATTCTTGGTTAGGGAAATATACTTCAAATTCTGAAGTGTCTTTAAGATGTTTGGGAAATCACTGATGTTGCATTGCTTCAAACGCAGCGCTTCGAGTGTTGATGGGATGTATGAATCCAAACTTAAACTAGGCTGGGATATCCAAACACCAGAAAGATCTAGTAGCAACAAAGATTTGAGAGAGGAGAAGAGTCGTAAGTCAATTGGGTAGCTTGTTTTTAGGAAAGAAAGGTCGAGCTCTTTGAGGTTGATGAGCTTTGAGATAGGCTCTAGGATATTTCCTTCAAATTGGTTTTCACCTAGGTACAAACTCTCTAGCCTTAACGGCAAAGAAGAGTTAGGAACTTCAATAGAACCGTTGAGTTTGTTTCTACTTAAATCAATATATGATAAGAGAGGCATAGTGAAGAGAGAAGATGGGATGGTTCCAGAGAAGTGATTATCACGAAGATCTAAATTGGAGAGCTTGGTTAGATTTTGTACAAGTGGGAGACTACCAGTGAAGTCGTTTATGGGAAGGTACAACTCAGTTAACTGGGTTAGGTTACTAATTGTGGGAGGAACTTGACCGAAGAAGCTATTAGAGGAAACATCCAAGACCTCTAGTTTGTTGAGATTGCCAAATTCATAAGGGAGTGAGAAGGCGGTGAAGTTGTTGAAACCAAGATCAAGGTAAGTGAGGTGGTGTAACTCAAAGAGGCTACTGTTGGAATTCAGAGTTCCAGAGAAGTGATTACGAGAAACACGTAAGTATGTGAGCTTGGGTAGATTCCGCACAAATGATAAACAACCAGTGAGCTCATTATCAGAAATATGTAAAGCAGAAAGCATGCTTAGGTTACTAAATGAAGAAGGAACTTGGCCGAGGAAGCCATTAGAAAAAAGAAAAAAGACCTCTAATTTGTTGAGCATTCCAAACTCGGAAGGGAGTGAAGAGGGGATGAAGTTGTTGTGAGAGAGATCAAGGTAACTGAGCTGATGAAACTGGAAGAGGCTACTGTTGGATTTAAGAGTTCCACTGAGACAGCCCCTGAGTCGTATCTTCGTGACCGCGCCGGTGGAGTTATCGCACCACACCCCATTCAAAGAGTCAGTGTGGTTGCAAGAATGAGTATCAAACTCGTTCTTAAACTGTGAAAATGCTTGAATCTGTTGAGGACCACAAGCAACAAGACCAACAACAGGCTTTTTAAAAGTGTAGAAGCTTGAAGGGGAGACACAAGAGAGTAAGAGCAGCAAGAGAAAATTCAAACGCATAAGCGATTGAGACATGATGAAAACTTTTTTAAGAAAGATAGAAAGACAAGAGAAAATTGTTTTGATATAAGAAACTTGAGAGGGGAGATTGGTATAAATAAAGATATGATGTAGTTTTGCAAGGGTGGAGCACAAATTGACTTAGAAGAAGTTAGAGTTCAGTGAAGTCGTCACATAGCCATGCATGATCCACGTTTGATGACTTTTCTAATGTATAATTTGAACTGAAATCACATCAGTTTGAAATCAGTGGCGAAACGTTTTTCACCGGGGTCATATTTATATCTTTTTAAAAAAATATATAAATAAATATAATAATTAAACAAATACAGAAATTATTTTGTAGTATCTTTGAACAAAATTAAGGGGGAATTGGCGTTGGTCACGTTTGTTCATATCAACTTGACAACTTACAAAGTTGGTGCATGACGAGATAAAGTGGTTCGAAGTTTGTCGGATCTTCCTTGGTTTTTAGATATTTGTGATTCTGCATTCTCGCGGCGTGTAACGTGAGGAAGGGAGAGAGATTGAGAGCATGAGATTGTTCTTTAGCTTATGTGGGCTGATTAGTATTAGCTTAACACACAAAATGAAAATATTATTTTGTGTTTTTAAAAAGAGTTTAAGAGAACATTTTGGCTTTGATTGGTAGCATTGTTAATGGCGGTGAAAAATTCAACCGCTCATTTGGTTACCAGTCTGGTCTAATCATATGAGCGGTTAAAATAGGTGAAAGAAACGAGTTGTTAGAATATGTGGTTAAAATTTTAAAAGAGGTGGTTCACAACCACTCTAACGTATGTGAGTTACTGTCTTATTTATAAAAAGGGCGGTTGAAATCTTTATAATTATATAATTGTTTTATTTTCTAAAACATATTGTGCATTTATATTATTATCTTATAGAGTTTTAAAAATGAAACTGAATTTTTTAAAACATATTATAAGTTTAGATATTCTCAATTGTGTTTCTATAATAATGTTTTTACTAACGCTTGTTACCAATCAAAACTATTATTTAACCGCTTATTTTACGACATAAAAACAAATTATAGAAATGAACTCTAGGATAAAAAAGAATTTCAAAAGTATATATTAATATACCAAATTATATATATGTAAACTGTATATGATTATTAATTTATGATAGTAAAGAGACCATATATATTTACGTACGGATTCCAAAAAAAATATCATCTTCTTATATATTATCCATATATTGTATACTGTATACTTGGATTGCAAATTGTATTTGTATGTTCATGTTGGCATAACCGCATAAGAAATTGTATTTGTGTAGATAAGTTTTAATGTTTTTAAACCAGTAAAATACAAGTGAAGTTTAGCAATCAGTCATTATATTAATTGGTTGATTTATAATGTTCATTCCCTAGTTGTTCTCTAAATGGATTGTCATATGTGTTATTCTAACTTAAATTAGTGAAATTCTCAAGTTCGCAGAAACAAAACTATATAGTCTTCCAGTAATTTGCAATGTATTGGTTTGTTATCTACGTATTGCCGCCGAGATAAAGGACCGAGCAACAACATATCGACCGAACCTTGTTGATTGGTAAAAGTTTCTTAATGGGCAAATCTTCTTCATGGGTCAAGTTTAAAGGAGGGCGAAGTCCATGTCCAAGTAAGTCATTTAGTTGTGTACAATATTTCACATTTTGCATACAAGACATTTTGACTATCTTAGCCTATGCATACAACAGATTTTGACTCATATCAAACTATTCGATGCTTGTGTGGATCTGTTCCACTTGTTCCTTTGTGGGTGCAATGACAAGAGCAAGGAGCCCATCTAGATCATGAAGCCGCATCTGGTTGTAAAGATGGTGTGAAAGAGGTAAGACATACAATAAACTCTTCCTTGAACCTTCCGGCCATGAGAATGAGGAGTATTTGTTTATGAAGAGATAGAGGAACTTTGAAGTCGATGACATTCTTAACTTGCTTTTGCTTCTCGCAGAACTTACAACTTATAAACCATATTTGGGAAAATTGTATACCATTTTTGTAAACTAGGATCACCACTAATTTATTTTTGGTTTCACAAAATCAAATATTTTGTTTAGACCATCTACACATACCATTACTCTATCTTCATACCATTACTCTAGTTTCAACTCTATAATTGAGCAACTCTATCTTCAAGTAAGTACATAACTCTAAAATGGAATAATAGACTAGAACACTCCAAATATGAAATAAAATTTGGAATTCTCCATTTTGGACTTGAAAATGAAAGTAGGGTTGAAAAAAAAAAGTTTACTTTAAATAGATTATGGATGTATAAAGTTGTTGTACATAAAAAGAAAACATTCATGGTGATTCCAAATAATTTTTTGTATATTCAATTTAGTCTGATATTAGTTAAGCCAAAATTGGTGGATTTGATCAGGGTAACATAGTAAAATTTATTTCCCGTAAATCAAACTCATATGCGGAAATAAAGTCATTCCTCTCATGACAAGTCCTTCATATAAACCCTAGAGTGTGTTACATCGTAAATATTGTATATGAAATTTTATATTTTTGTATAGTTTAACACATGTCATTTTAAATTGGTAAATATGAAGATCTTGGTGTTCCTTAGATAATATTTTTGCTCGGTTAATTTTGCATCATCTTCCACCTCCATTTTTTTTACCAATGTTGAAAGAGTTGAGATCAATATCAGTTCATATCCAAATTGCTAACTAGAGGTTTTTGCTCCAACATGGTGTCCACTGTCCACTAACATACTATTAGCTAAAAATTAACTATGCATTGGGTCGTCTTTTAGCTTCAAAATGTAATGATTCATATTCCACAAGAGTCTTACTCAAAGCCTCAAAATAAAGCACATCTTTCCAAAATTATGCATGAATTATTTCGACAAAAAAAAAAAAAATTTGTATCCTGGTAAGAATAGGATCGACAATCGAAAAAAATTTACCCATCAAAAGCATATCACTAATAGTATAAATCTTACACTATTTCAATCTTTCTTTAAAAGTATAATAACGTATTAAAGTCTTTCAATGACTTAAATCTCAAATTCCCTTTGGCAAAAAAGAGTCAAAAACTTCTCATAATTGTGGCAATCAAACCTAAAATCATGGTACGACCAGTATATGATGTTATGGGTATGAATCTTTTTGCACGAACATGATGGTCTTACATGTGTTAGGGGCCCTTAAATGTTTTCAACAAATGATGCACCCTAGTTATCATTTCTTCCAATAAATAACTCTCCATTTTTTCATGTAAAGTTAAGGACAATAAACTTTAACTAATTAACATTACAAATATAATTGGGGAAAACATAAACCATATGTATTCTTTAGTGTAACAAACTCTTTAATTTAAGCCTTCACAAACCACAGATACAACACAATAACCGAAGTCACTCTTAACTTATGTTACGTTGTGACTGTGGAGTCCAAAACTAAAGAGTTATTAGTGAAGAAGAGACAAGAAACAAATGCACTTGTCATGTGCTAAAACAATGTTGCCGTTTCCTTAAAGAAACTTGCAGACAAAACAAAAGACTCCGTCACTTAGTTGTAAAGCCCAAAGCTGTTATAACAAATGAATTCTCAAACGTACACTTATGCCCTCACCCCCACACACCAAAAAGTCAAATAGAATTGATCAATAAAGATGGGTAAATAAGTAAACTTACCAACTAATTTCTCTAAATAACGCTTACCCGTTACCACCAACACTTTTGCTCCTACACACTTTTGGTTTATACTTTATACACCAATCTCTTTCTTTTCACATAAACGAGAAAGCGAGAAGAAAGTGTTCAAAGAGCTCATCATAGATATCAAATCACATATATGTAAACTATTCTATTTTTGTAGATTTTTGTTTTATTTTTATCATTGTTACCTGACATTGAACTTTATTTTTTTGGTATAAAGAAGAATCAGAATTCTCTCTGTCTCTTTTCTTTAATGAATAAAAAGTATATTCTATTTACATTACAGATCTGCTCTTGGATTTCGGATTCTTCTTCTGCAAAACTTGAAGACGAAGGTCTTATCTTCTTCACTGGCATTTTCTCGGTAATGGGTTTTTCACTGAAGCTCTCATGCTGAATTAAGCAAACGAGTCTTGATACAAAAGGTCGGTTTTTTATTTTTTTCTATGGTAGCGAAAATTTTCTCGGGAAAATTTGGGTTTCTCGGGAAAATTTGGGTTTCTCGGGAAAATTTAGGTTTCTCGAGATTGTCCTAGAAATCTGAGTTTAGGAAGCTGAGATACTAAGTTGTTTAACTTAAATTCAACTCCATTAGATTTTAAAATTATTAGTTGTTTAACTTAAATTCAACTCCATTAGATTTTAAAATTTATAAGACTTTCAAAATCTGGGTTCATTGAGACTGATTTATTATTCATTCTTTAAATCAGTGGAAGTGTATTTACACTGACACATGATATCTTTTGGTTTTGAACAATAGAATTGAATTCTATAACAAATGATTTTACAATTTTCAATGAAATTATACCAAACTTTTACCGTCACGTATTTTTTTCCCATTTCAAATTTCTGTATTGAAATCTTAACGTATCTTTAAAAGATGAAAATTGTTTTTTTTTTTTTTTTTGTTAAAGTGATCAAATGAATCATACAACAACTGTTAAAACAATATACACATTAACTAGGGATAAAAAAAAAAGACTGGGAAAAAATGATAAAGAGAGATACATATGTGTTGGGTCATGGGTGAATGAGTTTGCAAATATTGATAACGTACGTGTATTACGTTAAATGAAACTTTTATTAATTTATTAGATTGTCAAATCTCATGTTAGAAGGTTGGTTTTGGGATTGACATAATTTACACATGAAATCAGTTTCAGATTCACTCAAAGCTTTTCAAATGAAATCATTTGTGAAAATCCACCAAACTTGAATAACATAAGACTTTAGTTAATAATTGTAAGTATAAGAACCAATAACACTAGATTTTAAACTCTTTTAATGAAGATTTTGCAAATATAAGAACCAATAACACTAGATTTTAAACTCTTTTAATGAAGATTTTGCAAATATAAGAACCAATAACACTTGATTTGAGTAAAGTATTTAAAATCATTGATTAAATAACATTAGACTTGGGTTAGAGTTAGACTCTATTAAAATCCATTATCCAATAACACCCACTAAGTTTAGTTTCCTCTTCGATTTCCCCGAGAAAAATCTTGTCTTTATATAACAAAAAGTCTTGTTTTTTTTTAATTTTTTTTTTCAGTTCAGATTCTTTGTATTGTGGTCTGAATCGGTGAGAGATGATTCAAATGGACGGTGGAGATAGGCTAAGAGTGACGTTATTAGATCGTATGTCAACAACAACGGTGGAGACTAACCGGAGCTCGTTAACGGGTTTAACTCTAGAAGCTATTCTAATGTCTGACAAAAACGTAACCACTCCGTCGCCGGGGATTCTTCCGCCACCACCACCGCCGCCGTCTTCAAGGAATCAATCGAACAGGACACTTCTTGATGTAATGCAGAGAGAGCACCGACACGACCGACACAATCGAGACAAAACCGCTTGGAAAAGTCTCCGTGAAAAGCTCCGTCTTAAACGTAACGCTACTGTTTGGATCTCGGCTAATCCTATCCCGGTTTTGGATAATACACCTATCCCTAACCGGGATAACGAAAACCACCAACTCGGTTTTCTCCTGACGGAGGAAGCTTCGTCGGTGGAAGGAAGGGTTCGGTTAGGAGCTGTGTTGGCGGAGGAGAGAGCTTTATCAGCGAGAGAAGAGGAAACGTCGCATGAAGTGGAGCCGGCGAGGATGTCTTTGATGGAGTTGTTAGAGGAGAACGAAGAGCAGATGAGTTTGGTTTGTGTTGAAGGAGAGACGGAGGAGATGGAGACGGTGACGGCGGCGGAGATAAGTTGTTGTGTGTGTATGGTGAGAAGCAAAGGAGCTGCGTTTATTCCGTGTGGTCATACGTTTTGTAGGTTGTGTTCGAGAGAGCTTTGGGTTCAAAGAGGGAACTGTCCTCTTTGTAATACCACAATTTTAGAAGTTCTTGATCTTTTTTAAGATTGGTTCTGTCAATTTTTATTACCTTAATTTATCATAATCAGGTCGTTTCGTTTGTTGTTGTATTGTGTGTTGTCATTGAATATTAGAATGAAATCCTTCTTATCCTAGACAAAATATCCGAAAAGTACCGAATCAAAACCGAACTAAAAACTAGAACCGAACCGAACCTAAAGCAATAAACCGAACTCGAAAAGAAACTGAACCGAACCTAAAGCAATAACTGAATAGATATTTAATTTCAGAATCAAGAAAAAATCGAAACTGAACCCCTACCGAACTGAAACTGAATGTGTGTATTCAAAAAATCCACAATATAAATATATATCTAAAATACTAGTTATATTTCATTTAATATAATCTAATTATCAAAATTATAATTATAAATTAAATCCGTAAACATCATGTACTTATATTCAAAACAGCCAAAATATTTTTGAGAACAAATATATTATGATGTTTTCATACATACATTTTAGAAATAACTCAGAACTAAATCCGAACCAAAATTCTAAAATAACTGAATGGATTTTTTACCCAAATAACACAAAACTGAATGAATATATTCGGAACCGAACTGAATATCCGAACGCCCAAACCTAATTAGGACTGATAAATATATAAACTCAACTGCAGAACTGGACACGAAAGATCTAAATCCGAATCCGAACCAACTATGGCCATGCATAAGTGATGGTTAGTAATGGTTAAGACACTACTGTAATAAGTAGTTAGTACTTGTATGATTCGAATGGTAAACTTTAACCAAACTTATCTTATCTTACACTAAATTAGAACGAAAAAGTTAGCATAGAGAGTTGTTAGTTGTACCATAAATTCTTAATTTATTGATTGTGTCACTGATATGTTTGATTTGAACCAGAACAACAAATAAATAAGTGGTCGGGCTAGACGTGAACAATCCTCCAAACTACACTTATGGTTACGGCAAAACCACCTAACAAAGCTTCACTGGTTAACTAACTTACTCTTTTACCTGTCTTTTTCAATTTGTACTTGCTTTGGTTAATTTAGATAACCACCGGTTTAACATCTAACCGATAAGTCTTGGGCTTTCATTTTGTAGGCCCAATAACTAGAAGTCATGGGCTTTCATTTCCTTCCTTTTTCAGTAAAAAAAAAAAACAGAGAAAATTCGTGGAAACGCCATCGACGAGATCTATCTAGCACGAACCCGTGAGAGTGGTGTAGGAGAAGACGAACGACGAAAGAAGAAGCAGGGAGCTTTCATAAAACCCTAGAGATCTTTGTTTCTCCGATTTCGGAAGAAGTTGTGAAGGAGAGGGTTTAGATTAGTCACGATTTGAAGATGAACATATTCAGATTAGCTGGTGATATGACTCACCTGGCCAGTGTTCTGGTCTTGCTTCTCAAGATCCACACCATCAAATCCTGCGCTGGTATGTTCATTTTTCCCTCAATTCTTCTCTGAATTTTGCTGAAATGTGATTTAGATTATGCGATTTGACGTTGACCGATCATATGGTTCCTCACTCGATTACGATTCTGTCAATTTGGGAATTTGTAATGATTAGTTCAATTTTAGAAATGATGGATCTGATTCTGAGTATCTGTAGTAATTTGGTCGCTAAGTTATGGTTTTAGGAGAGATTGATCGAAGAGGAATCGAATTTGTGAAATTTGTATGAATGGATCTCACGGATTTGAGGTTACATTTATGAGAATTTCAATTTTTGTTTGGTATGGTATTTGTAGGTGTCTCATTGAAGACTCAAGAGCTCTATGCCATTGTCTTTGCTACACGTTATTTGGATATTTTCTCGAGTTTCGTGTCTCTCTACAACACCTCTATGAAGTTGGTGTTTTTAGGAAGTTCCTTTTCGATTGTTTGGTACATGAGGCATCATAAAGCTGTCCACAGGACTTACGACAGGGAGCAAGATACGTTTCGTCATTGGTTCCTTGTGCTTCCTTGCCTACTCTTAGCTCTTTTGATTCATGAGAAGTTTACCTTTCTAGAGGTTTGGCTTTTCAATAAGATTGTAATTTGTTTTCCATGGAGCCTGAGAACTCTTTTGTTTGACTGGCTGATTTATTAATCTGCAATTGGTATCTGCTTTATGATATCAGGTACTGTGGACGTTTTCATTGTACTTGGAGGCTGTTGCCATATTACCTCAGCTTGTCTTGCTGCAAAGGACTAGAAATATTGACAACTTGACCGGGCAATATATCTTTCTCCTTGGGTACGATCTTGTTCCCATGACTTTCTTTCATTCAAAAGTATCCATGCTTCTTTATTCCTCTGAACATCTCTTGACTGGTTCCGTATATGATTCCTTTCCATCTCTGGGTACTTCATGATTAGGGGTTTTGTGAACTTTATGTTTTCTTCTACAAATGTGCTTTAGATCAGTGCCATCTAATGTCTATTCTTGATATCGTCCTGCCCTCATTTACACCATTGACTGTTCTCCTGCTAAACTTTATTTAGTTATTTGGGTTTCGTATTTCGACTGCTATACCAATAATGCCCTCTTCTTGCAGGGGTTACCGTGGATTATACATCCTCAACTGGATCTACCGTTACTTCACTGAGCCGCACTTTGTTCACTGGATAAGTATGTTCCTTTCTCTCTCAACTTTCTTGCCATTTACATGTAGCACACTGTAACTCATTAGCATCTTTTTATTTGCCCTCTAATTGGATAAGTGTTTGTCTTGTTTTGCAACTTATTACTGAAAATGTGATGCCAGTTATGGCCCTTTTCTTTGCTCATAAGTTCAGATTAAATTTAGCATTCAGATTCAATAGATACATGTGGAGCCTCATGATTCATGTGTGAAAACATATTGGTTTCTCATGCCGGAAAACGCAATATGCATCATTTTCTCTCATGAGTCACCTTTATCAATATTTGCTGTCTTGATTAATATTCGTGACCTGACATTTCAAAAATGCTTGATTGCAATGATGCAGCATGGATCGCCGGACTTGTTCAAACACTGCTCTATGCCGACTTCTTCTATTATTATTTCCTAAGGTAACAATTCCTGCATCTTCTCCTTTTGTTCCTAACGTTTTTTGAATTCTGCCATTGACTGTTTTTATTTTTTTCCCGTTATGTTTGCAGCTGGAAGAACAACAAAAAGCTCCAGCTACCAGCTTAATTTCTAAATTTTTCAATGCTCGGGAAACCCTACGGATTCAATTTGGTTCCCGACACAATACCCATGGGGATGTTACCAATTTTACTCCGATGGTGGTTAGTAGAGGAGAGAACGAGCAGAGATGTGTAAACTCCAGCAAACTAACTTATTACACTTTCTTTTGACTTTCTCGTCTCTCAGCTTTTTCTGGTCGAGTTAGTGTTACTAAATATTTCAACAGGACAGTAATATACTCATCATGATTCACAACGTGATGTGAACTATTTTTAAATTGGGAGAGCTCCACTTCTATAAAGAACAAGAAAAAGACATGTATGAAGTTTCTATAGGCTTTTAAAATCTTATCTACCACTCAAAAACTGAAACTTCATGTGTTATTACTTATTAGCTAGTCGAACACAAATCTTGTCGTAAAGTTAATCTTAACGTCCCTCATATACATATTCTAGTTACATCAATTTTTCATTGCATACAAATCAGATACTTTATATGTCCATAACATTGTCGATAAAATCAATATAAGTAATTGTAGAAGAGAGTAATTAATGGATCACTACATCTTAGAAAAAAGATAACATTGTGATTAAAAATGGTGATGGCCGATGGGCATGGGGATAATTAGAATGGCGTGTAGGAGATGTATAGAGAATTTGATGTGACTCTAATCTCTTTGTCTCCTCCATATCTTTCATGCCTTCTACTTTTTCAAACTTATAAACCAGCTGTGCAACACCATAGTACCTTGCACAAAAAACAAGAATTAAATCAAGATATGGACTATATGAGAATCTTTAGTGTTTTGGCTGTAGCATTATGGATCATGAGAGGGGTTGATTCTAGGGTTTTCGGAGGACGAGGGATCGAAAAATATGTTACTTTCGGCCAGAACTATGTTGTTACGTGGGGACAAAGTCATGTTTCCACACTCCACTCTGGCCAAGAAGTTGATCTCTACATGGATCAATCTTCAGGTTAGTATCTCTTTTTTGTTGTTACTTGTATAAAAACATAAAGACACAAGGGTTTAATAATAGGGTTATTGGCTTCTATACATAAAACAGGTGGTGGGTTTGAATCCAAGGACAGCTACGGATCAGGTCTCTTCCAAATAAGAATCAAAGTCCCCGGAGGAAACACTGGCGGCATCGTCACCGCTTTTTACGTTTGTATTCTTGTTCACTTACACACACATATATACATAGACTAGCTAATTCGAAACTCATATCGATAAATTGTTACAGTTGACATCGAAAGGAGGTGGTCACGACGAGATTGACTTCGAGTTTCTTGGGAACAACTACGGTAAACCCGTAACGTTACAGACAAATCTGTTTCTGAATGGAGAAGGAAACAGAGAAGAAAGGTTTAATCTTTGGTTCAATCCAACTAAACACTACCACACTTATGGGATTCTTTGGAACCCTTACCAAATTGTGTACGTTTGATTACACAAATCCTTCTTCTTATTCGTTATCTTGCTCTATTCGTTTCTTAGACAAAAGATTAATGCAATCATAATTTCACGTACGTGCATGGAATGCTAGGTTTTACGTGGACAACATCCCAATAAGAGTATACAAAAACGAAAGAGGCTTAAGCTATCCATCAAAGCCTATGCAAGTCGAGGCTAGTCTATGGAACGGTGACGCTTGGGCCACTGATGGAGGTCGGACTAAGGTTAACTGGTCATACTCTCCTTTCATTGCCCATTTCCAAGACTTCTCTCTATCAGGCTGTAACATAGATGGTCGGAGTAATAACGTCGGAGCTTGTGAATCCTCTAACTACTGGTGGAATACAGGCGAGTATCAAAGATTAAACGGACATGAACAACAGATGTATGAGCATTTCAGGAGCAAGTACATGAACTATGACTATTGTACTGATCGTTCTAAGTACCAAACTCCTCCTAGAGAATGTTATTACCACTGAAGGAACGTAACGTTACCTATCATGTATGTACGAGGTAAAAGAGTTAAGTTATAAAAGGAACTAAGGAAGTGATCATATCACAGCTGAGAATATAATTGTATTTGTGTCTAAAAATATGCATGTTTATCAATCTCAACACTTCAAATTAGTTAATTCAGTTCTCGTATGTGTAAATGCCTTAACCGGTCGGTGTGTTCCGGTTTGAGAAATCAGATTTGGGTTTGAAGAAGTTAGTTATAAGGAATCAAACAATTGAAATGGATTTATGATCAGACAAAATCAACGAGCGAGAGTTTGTGAATTTGGATCGTTGACTTCGTTTTGTTCGAATTATTGCTCTGAAAGATTTGGTTTGGTTTGGTTTGACAGACAAAACATTTCTGTATGTTACATCGGACTCTCTTGTGTCCGAGACGTCTCAAATTTTTGCTATCTGCTAGTAATTACAAGCGGCACATTGCTCAGGTTCACGCTTTTGTAATCACTTCCGGTTATTTACTTAATGGAAGCTCCATTAGTCGCGATCTCGTTGCCTCATGTGGACGTATCGGGGAGATTTTTTATGCACGTAAGGTGTTCGACGAATTGCCTCAGAGGAGTGTTTCTGTTTATAATTCTATGGTTGTGGCGTACTCTCGTGGAAACAACCCAGATGAAGTTTTGCGGATTTATGATCAGATGATAGCTGAAAGGGTTCAACCAGATAGCTCAACGTTTACTATGACGATCAAAGCGTGCTTGAGTTGTATGGCTTTAGAGAAAGGAGAGGCTGTGTGGAGTAAAGCAGTTGAATTTGGGTATAAAAATGATGTCTTTGTTTGTTCATCTGTTTTAAATCTGTACATGAAGTGTGGGAAAATGGATGAAGCCGAGGTTCTGTTTAGAAAGATGACGAAAAGAGATGTTATTTGCTGGACAACAATGGTGACAGGGTTTGCACAGGCAGGAAAGTCGTTGAAGGCAGTTGATTTTTACAGAGGAATGCAAAATGAAGGATTTGGTAGGGATAGGGTTGTGATGTTGGGTGTGTTACAATCTTCTGGTGATCTCGGGGATATGAAAATGGGCCGTTCGGTTCACGGGTATTTGATTAGAACAGGTGGTCCTATGAATGTTGTAGTTGAAACCAGCCTTGTTGATATGTATGCTAAGGTTGGGTTTATAGAGCTTGCTTCTAGGGTGTTTAGTAGGATGATGTTTAAAACCACAGTTTCGTGGGGGTCGTTGATCTCTGGATTTGCTCAAAATGGATTAGCCAGTAATGCTTTTGATGCAGTTGTGGAGATGCAGAGCCTTGGGTTTCAACCGGATCTAGCAACTCTTGTTGGAGTACTCGTGGCGTGTTCGCAAGTAGGGTCATTAAAGACTGGTAGATTGGTACATTGTTACATTCTGAAAAGGCACGTTCTTAATCGAGTAGCTGCGACTGCATTGATGGACATGTACTCAAAATGCGGCGCTCTTTCAACGTCAAGAGAAATCTTTGAACAAGTAGGAAAGAAAGACTTGGTTTGTTGGAACACAATGATATCTTGTTATGGAATCCATGGAAACGGTCAAGAAGTTGTATCGATGTTCCTCAAAATGAGGGAATCAAACATAGAACCTGACCATGCCACGTTTACATCGCTTCTCTCTGCTCTCAGCCACTCGGGTTTCGTAGAACAAGGCCAACACTGGTTCAGCGTCATGATAAACAAATATAATATCCAGCCGAGCGAAAAACACTTCGCCTGTATGATTGATCTTCTCGCTCGTGCAGGGAGAGTTGAAGAAGCTCTTGAGATGATAAACTCGACCCAACTTGACAACGCTTTGCCTATTTGGGCTGCTCTTCTTTCAGGATGCATCAGTCACAGGAATCTATCAGTTGGAGACATCGCGGCCAACAAGATTCTCCAGCTGAATCCAGATAGCACAGGGATCCAAACCCTGGTCTCTAACTTCTTTGCAACTGCCAATAAGTGGAAGGAAGTGGCTAAAGTGAGGAAGTTGATGAGAAACGGGGCCATGGAGAAGGTACCAGGCTACAGCGCGATCGAAGTAAACGGAAAGCTTTGCTCCTTTCTCATGGAAGATCTGAGCCACCATGAACATTATCACATATTACAAGTGTTGAGAAACTTGAATACTGACATGACGAAGGCATATACACCCATTTCTGAATCTGTCATTTCCAATTAGTAAGTACTGCTCATGATAATATCACTCATTTCCCATATGCCTGGATCATCCGAATTCATTAGTAAAACTATGTTTTTGGTATAATGGTGAAATTGTATAAAATAAAGAATTTGTTTAGATAGACGTTTCACTTGTCACACTTTTGATAACCCCAATTTGCCATCGCAATGTGTCTCGATCGTTAAAAGACTTTGGAACCGAGAAGTTTCCACTAATAAGTTTCCCGTAGGCTTCTCTCCACTCCCTGCCAATTCACAACCGCACAGTATCTTTCAAAAGTCCAAGTGAATGTGCAATTTTTTCTTCTCTCGACGACAATACACACACACACCATCATATCCAAATTTGTTGGACCATTTTGATATTAAAAATAATCATAAATAATAATTAAAAGGAGAAAAAGAGGTATACGAGTCTTTTAGCCGTGTATAAAATAAAGTTAAGAGTAATATCTCACTCTCTCTACATAACACAACAATGAGTTTACTCGTCTGAAGATGTCCGACAATTGGAGTACCGTTGGGCATGCGGCACGACATCTCCCAGGTTAACAAATAAAAAAAGAGTCATAAGAAACCATTTACAAATTAAATTAATAGATATGTGATTGATCCCGATGACAAAAAATATTTTTATTGCAGCGCTCCGACAGGTGACAATGGTAATCCCCGTCTCTGAGCTGAGTGGGGATAGGCAACAAAGGGCTACAGAACAGTGGGCTATAGACAATTCCACACTCACCCACCTCGTCTTCTGCATCACATCCAGACACAACAGGACTGATCATGGCCCTAACCAAAATTTCGACAGGCTAATAAGCACTCCTAACTACTGTTTCGTCCATTACCAGTACCAACAAGGCTGGTATGACGAGGGCACTGCCATCCGTCTCTGTAGGGACTTCTCCAGAGATTACGACCCTGCCCTTGGTGCCTTTTCCCAAGTTACCACGCCTATATTCCGTGAAGGTGCGTCGGAGGACTGGTGAAAATGCATAGGGATCTCATCCCAACGTCGTTCCTCTTGAGGACAATCCATTTCTATTCTTTTCTTAAAGCGATCCATTTCGATTTTCATTTATGGCACCCCTATGCTCTCTAATCTTATGGGATCACATGTATTCGAGAGCTAGTATATTATATGTTTAGGAAACTTTAAAGACTTGTTCACCGATTTTACAAATCATGAAGTGACTTTTTCACCGTGTTTTTATTCTCACTCGCACAGTTTCGACAGTCACTTCTTAGGAGGTCATCCGTAATAAAACTACTCTAGCGTATGTACACTTAACTATGAAAGTTTTTCAAGATATTTGACCGAAAACATAAGTGCATTTTTCTGACATATGTAGCCAAATTAGTTTTGTTAAAACTTCTCTGCATGCACCACCGTATTTCCTAAAACCAAAGTGTTACAATTCACTCCCACTAACATATCATTACGTTTTCGTTACGGCCATCACCCCCTATGGTGTGAGCTCTCTTGACTCCACAGTTTTCTGGGTTCGACTATGATATCACCTATCTTTATGAGCCAATATCCATTCTAAGTCCATGGGCCCACCCGCATTCGACGACACGTATGTCCAGAAGACTTAAAAATTTATTTACCAAACTTAAAAAATTACCACGTATTTTTCCCCGTGTTTTGTCCTCACACGCACGATTTCGACAATTTCTTACGAGAATGTCACCCATTTTAAAACTACTCCACCAAATTCAAGCTTAGCTATACAATTCTCTTGTAACTTTGACCAAAAAATGTGACCAACAAGGTAACTTTGACCCATATCCAACTGTCGGTTTATTACATTCGGAAAGTTATAAATATTTGTTTATCGATCCTAAAAATATATGCGTTTTAATAATATAGGTGACCAAATAATTATTTTTTCCGGGTGTGCTAATAATATTAGCTATATAGCCCTATAGCCCGTTCCATCTCCCATATTTTTCTCTAATAGTAGCTATTGCTACCTTTGAGCCGAACGCTACCGTAGCAGTACTTCTCTTTCAGAGAATTTCAATCATTTTTACTCATTAAAATTCATTAGTGAATACTTTTAAATCAAAGTCAAAACGAAAGAAGTTTTGTTCACTTGTCCCACTTTCATAACCCCAATTTGCCACCCCAATGTGTCTCGATCGTTATTAGACTTATTTTGGAACAGAGAAGTTTCCATTAAGATTCCCGGAGGCTTCTGTCCACTCCCTGCCAAATTGCAACCGCACAATGTGATACGATTCATCAGTCGTATTATTGCAGAAAGAAGAAGCCACGTCAGATAAGTGAGAACAAAGAAGATGCTGACGTGGAGCGAGAGAATAAAGAAGTCAAAGTAATTGACTCAAAGAAAGACTCGGATCTGGGGAGAGACTTTGCTTGAGAGTTCTCTCGTTTGAATTCAAATACTCGTTGTATCTCTTCTTCTTCATTCATTCATGTTGTTTGTGAAACTTGTCCTGGCGATGTGCTAGAAGAGAGTCTATGTTGACTCTGTTGTAATCGTTTCTCATACTCTGTGTTTGACGATTGTATGTTGATTTGGTGATTACAACCTTTGTAATCATTCAGATCTATTTCTAATTGAATATCGTGTTGTTCGGAGATACAAAAGTCTATCATTGGTGCGGTGATACTGGTTCGAAGTGACTATCGTGATGGCTTCAATGGAGGATTCAGAGTTGTACGAAGGTGAGAGTTTCTATGGTAACGAGAATGAAAATCAATTGAAGGTGCTACAAGGTGGACTCAAACGTTTGTGTTTGGCGAAGGTAGAACACGCGGAGAAACTGGAAAATTTGGAGGATATGGTGAAATCGATAGCTGCTACATTGACGAAGATGGAGAAGCGAGCTGGAAAACAACCGATTCATCCAGAACCGTCTCATCCTTCTCCGCAACAATCATCTTATACAGATCCACAGACGCGTGATTACGGTGAAGGTAATTTACCTTTGGAGAATAGATCGAGCTTGTTGCGTAAGATTGAGATGCCAGTTTTTTCTGGTGCGTATCCATATGCGTGGTTTTCAAAAGTAGAACGGTTCTTTCGAGTTGGTCGTTACTCCGATTACGATAAACTGGATGTGGTAGCTTTGAGTCTTGAAGGAGACGTGTTGCAGTGGTTTAATTGGGAGATGAACAGAAACGAGTTTCGCTCTTGGGATAATTTTCGTCAACGTCTGTTCTTGCGTTTTGGTGTATCAAATGATGATGATCCTGGGAATCGCTTGTTCGCTATTAAACAAACTGGTTCGGTGGCTGAATATGTGAGTGAATTTGAAGATTTGTCAAATCAAGTTCCTGGTTTGGATGATATACATTTGGAGAAGATATTCTATAATGGCTTAAAACAAGAGATGAAAGAAGTGTTGATTATGAAGGAACCACAGGGATTACCATTGCAGAAGGCTGCAGTCCTCAGAATGGAGTCTAGCACTTTTTGTCAATTGATTAGTGAGAAGGGGAATAAAAGTACTAGTTCGCACCGTTTTGGGTATCCTAGAGCTCCTGCAAACTCCCACGCTACCAAACCTGTGTTCATACCAGTTGGGAATGGTAGAGGACAACATCAAGGTCACACAAACACAACTGTGTTGCCACCTCAACAACGTCACACAGCTGAGGAGTTAGATGCTATGAGGAGCAAACGTATTTGTTTCAAGTGCAAGGGTAATTATTTTAGGGGCCATAATTGTCCTTTAAAAGAATTACAAATACTTACTGTGGTTGATGGACTGGAGTTAGAGGTCTTGGAGGAAGACACCACATGTGAACTCGAGGAGATGGTGGTTCAGACACCAGTTTTGAGATGCTTATCCATGAATTCTTTTTTGGGTTTACACTCTCATCGCACTACTAAAATGGTGGGTATGGTTAATAAGATTCGAGTCATTGTGTTAGTTGATTCAGGGGCGACTCATAATTTTATTACTCCTACCTCGGCTGCACGTTTAAAGTTGAAAACAAATCCGGACAGTGCTTTAGAGGTGATGTTGGGTAATGGAGTTTGTGTCCATGGGTTAGGCGTCTGTCATGGGGTGAAATTCCAGCTGGCTGGGGTGGACTTTATCAATGATTTCATTTCACTGGACTTGGGTGGTGTTGATATTATACTGGGAGTTCAGTGGTTAGAAACTTTGGGAAAGTGTGAAGTTGACTGGAAACGCCAAGAATGGAATTTTACATATAATGGGAAGCATGTAACTCTTTATGGGGATCCTGATCTTCACGGGGTGCAGCCAGTTCTCAAAGCATTGGAGGCGCCTTTTCCCTTGTTAGAAGAAGCAAACAAATTGGCTATTGACCCGGCTAGTGTTGAATCTACTCCGGTCAGGTCTTTGTTACCTGCAATAGCCAAAGTGTTGGAGAAGTTTGCTTCTGTATTTACCTTGCCAACAGGTTTACCACCACTGAGAGGTCAGGAGCATGCCATTAATTTGCAGGCTGGTGTTACTTCTATTACAGTGAGACCTTACAGATATCCTCATGCAACTAAAGAAATTATGGAAAAGATGGTGACTGACATGTTATCTTCAGGAATTATCCGCCCTAGTAGCAGCCCTTTTTCTAGCCCGGTGTTATTGGTGAAGAAGAAAGACTCATCGTGGCGTTTCTGTGTGGATTACAGGGCACTTAATCGCGCTACCATTCCTGATAAATTCCCTATTCCGGTCATCGATCAACTTCTTGATGAGTTGCATGGATCTGTTTTCTTCTCCAAGATTGATTTGCGTTCTGGATATCATCAAATCCGGATGAAAGCTTATGATATTGAAAAAACAGCTTTCCGCACCTTGGAGGGACATTATGAGTTTTTAGTTATGCCTTTTGGCTTAACTAATGCTCCAGCCACATTTCAGGCTTTGATGAACAAGGTTTTTAAACCATATTTGAGGCGCTTTGTGTTAGTCTTTTTTGACGATATCCTCATTTATAGTGACACCTTGGAGGCTCATGTGGAGCAGTTGACAGTGGTTTTGCAGTTATTGGCATCTCACCAGTTATTTGCCAATCAAAAAAAGTGTTTGTTTGGAGTCACTCAGGTGGAGTACTTGGGCCACATCATTTCAGCTGCTGGTGTTGCCACTGATTCTGCCAAAACAGAGGCTATGCTATCATGGCCTACACCAAACAACATCAAACAGTTAAGAGGATTTTTAGGCTTAACTGGTTACTATCGCAAGTTTGTGCAGGGTTATGGTTCCATTGCTAGACCCTTAACTGAGTTGCTTAAGAAGGATCAGTTTTTGTGGTCCCCTAACGCACAAAATGCTTTTGATCACTTGAAACAGGCTATGGCTAAGGCTCCAGTGTTAAGCTTGCCTGACTTTGATAAACAATTTATCATTGAATCTGATGCATCAGGTACTGGAGTAGGCGCTGTTCTGTTGCAAGATAAACGTCCTATTGCATATTTCAGTCATGGTCTCACTACTAGAGAACAATTGAAACCAGCTTATGAGAGAGAGCTTATGGCTATTGTGCTCGCAGTTTTGAAGTGGAAGCACTATTTGCTGGGAAGGAAATTTATAGTTCATACTGATCCACGCAGCTTAAAGTTTTTACTTGAACAGAGGGGTGTTAACATGGACTATCAGAAGTGGTTAACAAAACTTTTGGGTTTTGATATGGATATTGTTTATAAACCTGGGGTGGAGAACAAGGCGGCTGATGGGCTGTCTCGGATTCCTCATTCCATATCCCATTCGTTGCTGGCTCTCACAGTTCCTTCTGTGCTGCAACTACAAGATTTGTACAAAGAAATTGATGCAGATACACGTATTCAGCAGCTGATTACACAACTGCGGGATTCGAATGTACCAAAACATCCTTATCTGTTGATTGATGGACGTCTTTGGTACAAACGGCGCTTGGTTATTCCCCGCAGTTCTGCGTTTGTTCAAGTTCTTCTACATGAATATCATGACAGTAAAATAGGTGGTCATGCAGGCATCCTCAAAACTTTAAAGAGAATTCAGGAATGTTTTCACTGGGAAGGAATGTACAAAGATATTCAGAATTATGTCCAAGCATGTTCTGTTTGTCAGACTCATAAGTATTCTACCCTCGCTCCTGCAGGGCTGTTACAACCTCTCCCTATACCTACTGCTATTTGGGAAGACATTTCTTTGGATTTCATTGAGGGCCTACCCACTTCTGGTGGGGTAAATGTGATACTGGTGGTTGTGGATCGACTTAGTAAGGCTGCTCATTTCTTGGGTTTAAAGCATCCCTTTACAGCCTTGGATGTGGCTAATAAGTTTGTGGAGGAAGTGGTCAAGCTTCATGGCTTTCCTAAGACAATTGTGTCTGATCGAGATCGCATTTTTTTGGGAGAAGTGTGGACTGCGTTGTTCCGTGTCGCAGGGACTAAGTTGAAGTATAGCACAGCGTATCATCCCCAAACTGACGGTCAAACGGAAGTTTTGAATCGTTGCTTAGAGACGTATCTTCGCTGTTTTGCTTCTGGTCATCCACGCACGTGGCAGAAGTTTTTGGCTTGGGCAGAGTTCTCTTATAATACCTCTTTTCACTCTGCGATCAAGACCACTCCATTTAAGCTGGTGTATGGCAGGGATCCCCCTCGCATTCTGTCTTTTGAACCTGGCTCTACTGACAATTGGGAGTTAGAGGTTAATCTGCGTGAAAGGGATCTTATGTTGGAGAGAATTCGAGCTAACTTGTTACGAGCTCAGGAAATTATGAAGAAACAGGCTGATAAAAAACGCCGTGATGTGGAATTTGAGGTGGGCGCTTGGGTTTATTTGAAGTTGCAGCCATATCGCCAAATGACAGTGGTGCGTCGGAACTGTCAGAAGTTAGCTGCCAAGTTTTTTGGCCCATTCCAGATATTGGAACGTATTGGGGCGGTCGCATATCGTCTGAAATTGCCTGATAATTGCAAGATTCATAATGTCTTTCATATTTCGCAACTCAAGGCTGTCGTGGGGGAGCATCATGTGATTCACGATGGTGATCCACCGGAGTTCTTTGAGGAAGAGATCACGTTCCCTGAGACTATCTTGGATGTGCGTTTTAATGCGACAGGAGGACGTGAATTCTTGGTGAAATGGTTGGGCAAGTCGATTGCAGAGAACTCTTGGATGTTATCGAAAGACTTTGTTCGTCTGTTTCCTCAGTTTCAGCTTGAGGACAAGCTGGTTCTCCGGGAGGGATGTATTGATACGATTCATCAGTCGTATTATTGCAGAAAGAAGAAGCCACGTCAGATAAGTGAGAACAAAGAAGATGCTGACGTGGAGCGAGAGAATAAAGAAGTCAAAGTAATTGACTCAAAGAAAGACTCGGATCTGGGGAGAGACTTTGCTTGAGAGTTCTCTCGTTTGAATTCAAATACTCGTTGTATCTCTTCTTCTTCATTCATTCATGTTGTTTGTGAAACTTGTCCTGGCGATGTGCTAGAAGAGAGTCTATGTTGACTCTGTTGTAATCGTTTCTCATACTCTGTGTTTGACGATTGTATGTTGATTTGGTGATTACAACCTTTGTAATCATTCAGATCTATTTCTAATTGAATATCGTGTTGTTCGGAGATACAAAAGTCTATCACAATGCCACAACATCTTCCAAAAGTCCAAGTGAATGTGCAAGTTTTTTCTTCTCTCGACGACACCATCGTCATATCCAAATTTGTTTTAGACCATTTGATATTGAAAAAATAATAATAATAATAATTGAAGAAAGTTGAAAAAGAGGGATACGGGTCTTCTATAAATAAAGCCGAATCTCTCACTCTCTCTCTCTCAAGGCATCTAACAAACAAACTAAGAATTTACTTAAAAGCTTTGCACTGCGTCAGAAGATGTCCGACAATAGAAGTACCATGGCGCAACGCAGCGGTAATCCTCGACAGGAGATAAAGGTAATCCCCGTGTCTCAGCTGAGTAGGGAGGGACGACACAGGGCTAGAGCACAGTGGAGTATACAAGATTCTGAACTCACCCACCTCGTCCTCTGCATCACACCAAGCTACAACAGGCCTGACCCTGGCCCTGACCACCATCTCAACACGCTATTCACAGCTCGTTACTCTTTCGTTCATTACCAGTACCAAGATGGCTGTTATGACGAGCGAACTGCCATACGTCTCTATAGGGAATTCTTCAGAGATTACGACCCTGCACTCCTTGTCTTGTCCAAGGTTACGCCTGTATATCTTGAGGTGCGTCGGAGGACTGAGGCTCGTCAGAACTACAACGTTCGAAGAAGTGCTAGGGAGTTGTGGAGACAAAACTCATGTTGAGACAAGACATGGTGAAAAATATTAAGAGGACAATGCATTTTTCACTTTCTTAAAACGATTGGTTTAAAGTTTAAACTCATTTGCTTCAGTTGTGTTTATATGAGAATAATGTTTTATGTTTTATGTTTTATGTGTAAATAAGTTCTGTTCAAGTAAAAGAAAATTCAAGAAAAGAAGAATATTGAGGTTTCTATTATTTATTGGAATGCTTTTGTATTTTGCAACAAAAGCAATAACAGTGGAATGATTTAAAGAAGTCGAACAATGCTACTAATTCCCAGGGGTTGAGCAAGAGAACCAAACCGGGTCAATTTCTTAATTACTGAGAAGAGACAGCAAGACAAGAAGATACGGAGAGGTTCTTGTGCACTTTTGTCGTCCCTTTGAGAAAAGCAGAGTACCAAAAAGCAGAGGTTTTGGGAGATCTTTTACGTTCCGGGTCACTAAAATTCACGTAGTATAATCCATACGTGTACTTGAAATTGAGAAACTCGAACAAGTCCATGAATGACCACTGGAAGTAGCCTCTTGTATCTGAGCCATTCCTGCACAACATTGTGTCACCGTTTAGTATTTGTGTTTATGACTTATGAGGCAAATATTGTTGAACAAACATATTACACACCTCACTGATTTAAGCACGGAACCGATATAAGCATGAAGGTATTCAACTCTTCCCATGTCGTTAAGCGATGAATTGTGGTTGGTAGGCCGACCTGATTGTGGTATTTAAAAAAAGAAACTCTCAAGATTCATAATGTTTTGAAGCTAAGTAAAGAAAAAGAGATAAAGACCGTTTTCAAGAATGTAGATGGGAGGATTTCCATAGTTATGCTTTATGTATTCCAACACTCCTTCAAGACCCCAAGGAAGCACATCAAACTGTGGATATATGACAATAATCAAATATTTTTTAGGGTGTAAGAGAACGGGGTTCTTTAACTAGCAGTCTTTCGGAAACATACCGCGACCACTGTAGTGTTCCCAATGGCTGTCCTAGGAAAAAAATAACAAGATTCAAGTCAGGTATGGTAGATTAGATAATACAAAAGATCTCAAGAAGAAGAAAAGCATACGGATTAGTGCTGCATTCATGTCATAATTATAATTCTATACGGTTGCTCACACCGGTGCTGGGAAATGTCTCTCCATACAGCAAATTGTTTGGTCAAACACCAAATTATAACAAGCTTCGGGTATTTGGGTGTACATGCTTTCCGTGGATTCGACCTTACACATCACACAAATTGGAGAGTCGCTCACTGCCATGTGTGTTTCTTGGTTACTCCTTAACACAGAGTGCTTACTTGTGTCTCGATAGAATTACGGGTCGGATATATGTCTCACGACATGTCCAATTTGTGGAGTCGAGCTCAATCTTTGAAATGAATGCTCAATCTTATTCAGTGGTAGGCTTTACAATATATATAGAGGTTACATAAGGATTAGGTATATACTAATTACAATTACATCCTTAATACATTTCTCCCTTACACATATTAACATCACTGAAAATGTCGAAAATGCTATATGAAATGAAGTTACAGCTCCCAAACCTGAAAAGCAGAAAAGGCTGATCCAAAAACGAAACCTTCGGGGAAATCATTCTTGCTGTAATCATTGCTACATCTCACGGAGAAAGCCCAACGCAGTAGTACAATGGTTATCACTAACAAAAACTGTCTCATCTCTTATCCAAGTGTGTTCCAAAGTACGTCACTTGCGAGGGACTGAGACACACGTGTGTGTTTTTGTTTTCTTAATGTCGGCAGAGTTGAAATATTTTCATTTGAAAAAATGTTTTAATTTTTCAATCTTTGATTATAGGTCTTATAAAACGGTTCTTTAGCAAAAAAAAAAAAACAAAAAAAGTTTTAATAAAAATAAATTCTCCAAAATACCACTTTTTTATTTTCTTAAGCATTAACAATTTGAATTTTAAAAATGTGAAATCTATCTTCTTAGGTTTGTGTTAACTTTATAGTATAGTTTTTAAGATTTAAAGTTTAGTGTTTAAGATTTAGGGCATATTTTTCAACGTTGAAATTTTAATTTTTGTTTCGTCATATTTTTGGCAAAAAATATATTTTAGTAATGTATTCGAAAAGATAAAACTAATAATGATCTTTTAGTAATATTTTTGGAAAACATTTATTTAAAAAAAAGTTACGAAAATTCCCGAAATAAAAGCAAAAAATTTGATACAAAGTTGTTCATACATTTTTAATAATGTCTTTGTCATTCAATCCAATAGCGATCCATTAGATAGGAACAGATTTGATAGACTCGATAAGAGCATGTCCAATGGTAGTATGCTATCACAATTTTTTAGTAATTGTTTACTAATAAATTGTATAATTTTTGAGGATAACTAAAATTATCCACCTCCAATGGTAAAACTCTTAATTTGGAGTTCTTAAAAAAAAATTTGAAAACTAAAATTTTATAAAACATAAAAAATATTAATTTGTAACACACATAATATAAATATAACTAAAACATAATAAAACACATAATACAAATCATATTTTAGTTGTTGCCAAAGTTTTGCTAAATATTCTTAACCAGATCAGAAAAGAGATGAAACTGTTTTGTTGCCTGAGAGAACGAGAGAGATGGAGAGTTTTTTTGTTTTGGTCGGAAGAGAACTTTGGTTGGAAAAGAAATATAATTTCAAAAACTAGAGGAGAACCCGTGCTTGCGCACGGTTGAATATTTTTTTTTGTTATAAAAATTAAAATATGTAATGTATAAAATATGTATTGTATAAATATTTGGTGGTTTTTGTATATTTTTATCTCTATAATTAATAGATAAGTGTGTATTAATTTTACTATGTATATTTTTTGGCTTTTATATAAGCACGCATATATTGTAATATAAGTATATATATATATATATTTAACCGTATGTGTAATATCGAAAAATATATAGAGCACTGTAGTGTGGTCAACCTTTGTAAATTGAAAATATTTGTTTAAATATAGTTTGAAGGTTTGTTTAAATGACTAATACTTGTGTCTGTTAAAGTAGAGATTAGATTTTTTCCGAAATTTTTTGTTATTGGGAATAATTTATGATAAACTAATTTTTCAATATTCAAAATGAATGGAAAACGAAAATGTATAGAGTAGACGGTTTTATTGAGTATTTATTTTGCTGATATGTAATTCTGTTGGTGGGTATTCAACTGCAATGAAAGTAAAAAAAAATTATATGAGAAAATGTCATATAAAAAACACCAATTAGTAAAGTTTATACATTAAAAATAAACTATTATAAACTATATGAACGTTATATAAATAAAATAAAAGGAAAATAAAAGACATACTTCTTCATCCGCAAGAATCAATTCTATTGATTCACCGGACTTAGCTGAAAACATTCTCCAACTATGAAGAATTTTGACTTCAATACGCCATGAGTTTTTGTAAGGTTTCAAATCTTTGAGTGGTGTGAATGAGAGGGGAAGAGCCATAGACATTTTTGCCGAGTAGGGTTTTTTAGGTTGGGAGAAAAATATGATTGAAAAGTAATCGTAGAAACAAATTTATAGAGTTGTAAATTATTAGTTTTTTAAATGGAAATTACTTGCATTATGGTAATTTTAATTATTTTGAGAGTATAATTAGCAGAATATACTCTAGAAGCAATATTCATTCGAGGATGATTGTGGTTAGAATATCTAATCATTTTTTTGAAATTAACGATTGTGATTTGTTTTGTAGAAACTAAGGGCTAAGATCAATTCTCCAATATTTTAGGTAATATTTGATGACTATAGTTACCTAACTTGATGGGATGATGATAAATTATAATTTGTAATTTAGGTAAGATGTTATTAGATTTCAAATATAAAAATTTCCGAATAAACAACGCAAATTGAAGTTATTGAACGCAATTTGAGGACATTGAGCTTGCGGATCAAGCTATTTAATTAATGCTAAGAATGAACGAATGAGATTAAAACTTGTGAATTAACGGATGTGATTTCATGTTAATTGTTCATTGTTTTTCTCATTCGTATAAACAATATACGAATGAGATTAAAAGTTGTTAATTAAGGGATGTGATTTCATGTTAATTGTATCTTATTTTTCTGATTCGTATAACAAATGAGATTAAAACTTGTGAATTAACGGATGTGATTTAATGTTAATTGTATCTTATTTTTCTCATTCGTATAAACAATGAACGAATGAGATTAAAACTTGTAAATTAACGGATGGGATTTCATGTTAATTGTATCTTATGCTAATTGTCGTATAAACAATGAACGAATGAGATTAAAGCATAATAATTAACGGATGTGATTAAACATATTAAACCCGAGTAATAGATCCGAATGATTAGTTAGATCCGCGTGTTATTCATTTCTGTGATAAACGGATGTGATTAAAAATTTTAAACCCGATTAACATATCCGATTATTTAGTTAGATCCGCGTGTTTACCCATTTAGAATTGATAAAAATTTCATTTTGAAACTATAGTGTAAATTCATTGTGTACTTCAGCTTTAATAGTATAGATGATTAGTTAGATCCGCGTGTTATTCATTTCTGTGATAAACGGATGTGATTAAAAATTTTAAACCCGATTAACATATCCGATTATTTAGTTAGATCCGCGTGTTTACCCATTTAGAATTGATAAAAATTTCATTTTGAAACTATAGTGTATTTTTATTGTGTACTTCAGCTTTAATAGTATAGATACATATTTTCAGATACCACTTTAAAAATATTCCTTTTTCAAACTTTATCAAAAAAACCATTGAAAATGTTGAAATTTATCCAAATATGTGTGTGACCTTATAAGTATACACAAAAAATTATATATATTTTTTAAATAACGTAAAATTAATTTATAAGAACCTTTTAAAAACTTTAAAAACCCTTTTAAAAACATTTTTAAAACTTGTATAAAAGATTTAAAACACTTTAAAACATTATAAAATAGTTGTATCGAATCACTAGTATTTATTATAGAGAAGTATTTTATAAACCATATAAAACTTTATAATTTTTCATATTTAAATGATTTTTGTTTTTTTTCTTAAACTCTCTTGTACCGACACGTGTCTCTAAGAAACTATCTCAAAACTTCTTAATTAAGAGATGTCTCTTAGCTTAATATTGAATTTTGATTTATTTTTTGCCTTTTTATTTCTAAGATATTGGTTAAAAAACCTGCATTGTACATGGTCGCTCGTAGTGTTTCAGATTCTTAGTATGGAACATGGAACCTCGCGAACGGTGTTGCTTATTGAATTAATGCATAGAATTGAATATTTTAGTTTTATTAATACAGTGTGCACACATACCACGTACGAAGATTCTCTTCTCTTTTGGTGTAAAGAAGCAGCGTTAACTTAAGCTAACATAGAAGTCGTCTTCAAAGGCTTTACAATGATGATCTTCTCGCATGTGCAGGGAGAGTTGAAGAAGCTCTTGACATGATGAATTCGACCCAACTTCACAATGCTTTGCCTATTTTGGTTTGCTTTTCTTTCGGGTTAATTGTGTAGTTCGCTCGAGACGTTTCATCCAAAGGGTAAGTGTACTTTGATGATATAAGTAGTCAAATCAGAAATTTTTTCATATGCACTATTTATATAGTTTTTTAAAACTAATGTTCTACGTCCTTTCTCAACATGTGGATCCATACTTATTTGACAGTCGGTTCGCTATGTTTAAGAGTTTTTAAAGATTTGTTGATCACCCTAGAAATCGCCATGTGATCTTTCCATGTCATTTATCCTTATTCACATGGTTCTCACAATCACTTCTCGAAAGCCACCCATCATGAAATTGTTCTAGCATAAGCACGCTTAACTGTGAAGTTTTCTCAGGACGTCAGACCGAAAAGATAAGTTTACCTTGGTGACATAAGTAGTCAGATCAATTTTTAAACATTTTCGCATATATATTTTCTAAAATTGAGGTATTATGATTTACTCCCTACTAACATATCGTAACGGTCCTCGTTGCGCACCAACACCGTCATCTCTGATGGTGTGACCCCTTTTGACTCCACACTCGTCTGAGTTTGGCTCTGATACGATTTTTAAAATTATGAACATAACTTTTTTTATGGGTCTCACGTCCTCTCTAGACATGTGGGCCATCTTTATCTGACGATTGGTTTGCTATGTCTAGGAGGCTTTAAAGTCTTGTTACCGGTTTGAAAATCAAAAATTGACCCAGAGATAAATGAAAGATATATTAGACTTTTGTAAATTGAAAGTGCGTCCAAACTCTTTTTTCAAACTCATCTAGAATATCCAGTTTTTTTGGATGAGTTTTATTTTACATCCTATTATTGCACCTAGATGCATTTCTTAATTTGAAAAACAAACAAACAAGAGTTGATAACTGCATCTAGGTATTGGATCTAGACCATAAAACAAACAGCCCCCTTACTGAGAAGAAAACTCAAGAGAAGAAGATACCGACTTGGGCACTTTGGTCGTCCCTTTGAGAAAGGCAGAGTACCAAAAAGCAGAGGTTTTGGGAGATCTTTTACGTTCCGGGTCACTAAAATTCACATAGTATAATCCAAACGTGTACTTGAAATTGATAAACTCGAACAAGTCCATGAATGACCATTGGAAGTAGCCTCTTGTATCTGAGCCATTCCTGCACAACATTGTGTCACAGTTTAGTATTTGTGTTTATGACTTATGAG